AATAACAGAAAAAGGCCAGTTCCAAAGATAGAAATTTCCGTTAGTATTTGGTTTGTAATTCGGCGAATTCGTGCTTGGGTGCGCGCAAGCGTTGACGCTATGCACATGCGGTTGCTATTATTTCAGTTTAGTTCAGTGCGTGACATCGCGTACTTGTAGGTTGAATGAGAACGTGTCAATTCAAAACATGACTCAGCAACTTTTGAATTGAAATCATGATCTTAGAATATTCTCAGAATATACGGCATTCAGAGAGCTAAAACTTCACCTGGTTAGTTGTTACTTGTTAAGAACCCGTCTTTAGATTTTGAGCACTTTTTGTTGCTTCAAGCGAGAGAAAGCACAAATGACAACTGATCTACCCTTCCTTTAAGAATGACTTGCCAATCCAAACACGTTAAACAAAACAGGCCAGCGAATCGTCCGCTGTTGTGTTTTATCCATCACACTTGGCAGTTGGGGGGCATGTCAGACTAATTACTTAACTCAAAAGGGAAGGGAGCCCTCGCTCGACCTGGTCTAAAAATTACCTTGCGCATTTTAACGCCATGTGACTTTTATCACGTCACAGAGGAAATTGAACCCTCAGAGTTCGTTTTTTTTGCGGTGGTTGCAGGAGAAAACGTTTTCACCACAGGTTGATCGTGATCTCATTTTGGTGAATTGGGTCTGTAAATCACTGTGACAGACTATGACGTTGGTAAATTTCGAATGAAAGATGCGGTCACCAGTCTCCAAGGCGTGCCGCATATGATTAAGATTTATAACAAAAAGTTTTTTTTGCAAACTTCAGATGGGATATTCAACTTGGAGTTGCAAAAGAAGCTACATGGGGCCTGAGCAGTTAATATTGCTAGGTGTCCAAATTTGCCTTGAAATGCAAAATGAAGTCATCAAATCAAGTTTGCATCCACACACGTTTACATACGTGTACAATGTAAATGTACCGTGTGAAGAACAAAAATAGGACAGGGACATCTCATTCTCAATAAGAGATTTTGTTTTCAGAATTAAGAATTCTGATTTCATTCCAAAGAAGATCAACTGACTTTAAGTCTTTTAGGCTATCAGCTTCGGTCCAAAAATTGGGCCACCGGTATCAAATGATCGAAAAGAGCAATGCTCATAGCGATTTTTGACAAGGTAAACACATCTAGAACTGGAACATGTGTGATAGCTTTGTAGTGTGAGTGGCGCCGCGGTAGTTTTTTTGGTGTTATCACTTTTAATTTTTTTTTTCAAAATGGCCGCCAATATGCTTGAACCGGATTAATTATATGTGGCAACAAGCATGTTTTGGCTGCCATTTTTTTTTTAAACAGTGATAGCACCCAAAAAGCTGCCACCGCTGCAATGCTATCACATATTTTTCAACTACAGGGGTGCATACCTTGCCAAAAATCACAATGAGCATTATTCCCCTCATTTGATACCGACCAAACCCCCAGGGTGATGGTTTATTTAGTGAGATACCGGTACCCGGTACGTGTAGAAGAACACGTGCAAGAAGGCCTGTGTAAATATAGATATCCAATGTAGTAAAACAGATTACGTGTTGAACAACTCGCGTTTTACATCGGGACCTCCCAGGTCAAAGTCAAAAGGTACCGGTAAAGGTAAACACAACACACCCAATCTCCTGGAAAGAGTCTGCCCGACACCAGCACACTGGATCAACGTCCAACCAACACGTGTTGTAAACTATGCACGTGAGTGTAATGCTCCATTGTAAAGTTCTTCGGCGATTCTTTACAAAATTGGGAGGGGATGGGGTTAGGGGTCTGGCAGTGAGGAAAATCAACTTATTTCTGGCACGTACCTTTTTTTTGTACATGTACACATAAAGAACATGATCGATGTCACTATCACAGCAAAGTATATTTAAGTCGACACAGCAGTTCTAAGATGCAAGACTGGTTTATACTTTGAAAGAGTACCGTATGTGAAAGGTGCTCGGTGTTGCATAGACTGTTGCATAGACTGTTGCATTTGGAGCTGCACTTTCCTGACAAAGAAATACACAATGTGTATTTTGCCTAAACTACCGGTACATACATGTACATCCATGTACCGTACACCGTTTGTACTTCTTGTTGCAGGAAAGCCAAATAGAAAACACCAAATCCATTCACATAATTTACACCAAGGTCTCCATTCTTCAGTGATTCCAGTCAGATTTGGAATGATGCTGGGGCACCGACCTTCACAGAGGAAAAGTACAGTGCCCTTTGACATTAAGCAGGCGACAAACACACATGAGGGCGTGGAGGAGGGATCCTTGAACCGTGGCACACAATGTGTACATGTACCAATATCGTAACGGGTACCGGTACATTTGTAAAAAGTACAACTGTAGATACATGTACCGTACACACCTTTAATGCTTTTATGAGCAACCAAAAATTAAACTGGTGAAACGGATACTTAATTCTTCACACGTGCAATTTGTGCGTACATGTTGGAAATGTCATTCCTGTGACATTTATGAACCACATGCGGGTAATTTTATCAAACAGCACATGTTCTGGGGGCTAATGAAGTTATCTGTAAAATACATGTACCACACCATACCTCAGGCATGTCCCGGGCTGCACATGAAATCACCTTGTGGTGGGATTAAAATCAGGATTTTTTTTAAATTTGGTAAACTTGCATTTCACTACATGTATATTTGGTTTGGATTTTGGAAAAAAGCTGAAGAAAACAACTGGAACGTCTCCCGATTTGCTCTATGGTCTCAGATTGTGACTGCATTCACTTGTTCGCAGTGTTCTTGGTTATCAGGAACAGCCTGCCAATTCGACTCATCAGAGAGTTCCCACCCATTTAGAGCTCTGGAGCGTTTTTGGAAAGGCCCAGTGGTTGTTGAATCCGGTGAAACTAATCTTGTGGAGGCCACTGCATGCAGCATCTCACTCGTCACTTTTTGTTGGCATGACTGTGAGGAGCATGCGAGCAACTGGAGAAATTGGATAACTGTTTGAACAAAATTAGGACGTCCGGATTTTGAATCTCCGATTTCTCCCAGCACTAATTTCGCCACATCCATAATATGCAGGACTGATTGCAGAGCTAACATGTACATGTGGCTCCACGACTGGATGCGTACATGTACCGGTACATGCACAGTGTTTATTGGCAAACTGACGGTGGACAATATAGTTTTTGACAACCTTCATTTGTCACATTTGGCCCATGTCTCTCTGGCACAGATGCCAGCCACTGTCAATTAAGTGCACTGACAATGCAGCGATTCAATTCAATTGATGGACAGATTTTAAATGGCTGACTAATCTACACTGACCCTATTATTGGGTGGGCCTCTGGAATTGTCAAGCACTCTGCAATGTGGGCGCCAGGCTGAATGAAAATAGAAGTTGTATTTTTAGAAGCTGTACTTGTGCCAGGACACCGGTAGCTATAGTTGGACTGATTCTTCAGTAGGACAGATTGCGTGCACTGTTACAGTATGAGGAGGAAGCGTAACACTTGTACAACAAACTCGTACAATGTAGTTAAAACCGGCACCAATTTTGTTATGGCATCAGTTTGTCATCCAAAAAGAGCAAATATTCAAACTTGCTGAATTAAGCCCCCTCCCCCAGCTTCTTCAGCTAGATACATTTATGCTTCAATCTCCACCTTGTCCACCTGCACAATCTTTGTGCCTTAAGCTTTCAAGGGGTGTCAAGTCCCATATAAAGTACATGTAACAGTGGCTGGGCTAGACATTTTCCAAACCTGCAAAATCCTCCACTTGTGTACGAAACCAATGGCATTCTTGTATACATGTACATGTACCTACATTGTACATGTACAATGTACCTACCAAGTTTCAAGCCGTATCAAGCCCCATGTAATGTATAAGTGGCTGGCCTGGACATTTCTCAATCCTACCCTCAGCAGTGTATGAAACCAATGGCATACTCTTTGTACCTACCAAGTTTCAAGTTGTTTCAAGCCCCATGTAATGTAACAGTGGCTGGGCTTGATAATATTTATCAATCCTGCAAAATCCCCCAAAACCTCCGAGCGGATTTTAAAGGATCTACAATGTAGGAATTGTGGGAGAGTGCAGCTTGGGTAGTTTATAACATTATTAACACACAGTTTCTCAGTCAGTCATTGACTCGGTCAGTGACTTAAGTCGGTCAGAGAACAATGGGGTCCAGCTGCAACAATGCACGTGTCAATTGTAAGAGAAACCCATGACGCAACCCCCCCCCCTCCCCTGGTGTGTCAAGAGTGCATCATGTTCTTCCTGGCTGTGACACAGGGATGCATCAAGTCATGATTTGGTATGTCAAACAAATTATGGGGTGCGTCACTTTTCCTCAGTGCAGTAGGTGCATCACAATCTGTGAAAGGTGGGTCAAAAATGTTGCCAAATACATACATACCGGTACATGTGACCTGTTCTGGCAAAAGCAGACGCTTCTGGGCAGAGGTTGAAATTGAGATAGGGCCAAAAAACGCTGTGGGGGTGATTTTTTTTCAATTTTCAAATGTTTGCATCTTTGTAATCCTGAATATGTCTAAAATATACTATAAAAGTTTGAAACCCTAATTTGAGCTCTAAATATAGTATTTTTGATGATTTGTTATTGGTATATCAGTTAAAGATATTGCTGTTTTGTGACGTTCGTGGCCATTTTCTCAGTTTTCTACTTTTCGACACAATGAACTTCAAAATAGCATAACTCTGCCCAGAAATGACTGGTTTCAAAAATTTAACCACCTATTAAAAGAAAAAAGAACATATTTTAACAATATGCAAAAATCTCATTTTTGACCTTATGCCCAGAAGAGTCTGATTTTGAGAGAACAGATCACACATGTAGGGTCAACAACTATACATTTGGTGCGTCATCACTACCCTGACACAGGAGACACTAGGTGTATCTAGACTCTACAAATGGACGACCAACTGTCGGACAATGAAACACCATTCCCGTCGGTCACAGGGTGCGTCATACAATTAACAGGTGCGTAAGACATACCTTGAGATAGGATCCATGGTACTTGGTGATGAAGGCTGACTCGCACTGACTGAGCACCGTGATCTCCTGTTGAATATCTTCAATCTCATCTTCGGCTTCTTCTAAATCGATAATCTTGATGGCCACGATGCGCTTGGTCCGGTTGTCGATACCTTTGAAGACCTCACCGAAGGAACCTTTACCGATGCGTTCCAACTTGGCAAAGAGCTGTTCGGGATCAGCCTTCATGTTCTGCAAGGGAGAAAACAATTTGTATACATAGGAGTTCAATTGTCTTATTCTGGTTTCAAAGAAAACAAAGAAAATTGACAAAGAGGAGGATTTCAATCTGTCACCTCAGAAACACGTGCTCTACAAAATAAGCCATCTTCCCCTTTATTGAACAAAAAAAACCCCAACAATTTGTCAATATCATACAATTTAAGAGGTACTTGAACTCAAAACCCGTACATGTAAGGTTGAGTAAAAAATAAAATAGTTTCTGGTCCAAGGTTGAGTAAAAAATAAAATAGTTTCTGGTCCAAGGTTGAGTAAAAAATAAAATAGTTTTGGGTCCTTTTTTTCCTCCCCCATGATGACGGATTTTCCAAGATGGCGGATGAATTCATCCATTTTCTTGACTCTTTTGCTGATATAAAATTGTGTCAAAAGCAACTGCACATGATAACCCTTTCTACATAGCTACAACTTTGTTCGAAACAAAGACACTCCATGTATATTGACACTACATTTTCAAAATTTCATTGCAAATGTGTGAATAACAAGAATGAAAAAAAAAATACAACGAGAAACTGGTAAAAAAAAAATTTTAAAACTTGTTTTTAATCACATATTATCAAATAAACAACAAAAGACTACATAGGCATCCTATTACGGTACGTAGGGCAAAGCAAAATGACTGCAGTGGGATTTGAACCTGCAACTGCTGGAACATGATTCCAGTGTTTCAACTGAATTATCATGCCACGTGTATAATTTGTCAATAAAGTTGTGTCCGAAACACGCTTCCAGAGATAGCGGTACATGTACCGGTACGTCTACATGTACATGTAGGTCTTTTGTCCGCATGTGATGTTCCTACGTACATGTATGTAGTTGTACATGTACCTGTAACTGTTGAAGTTCTACACAATATCTCTCGACAGGAGGCGCATCCAGACCTTGCTAAAATATGTAATTGTGTTGGGTGTTTTTTTGGGGGGGGGGGGGGGGCAAGTCAGGAGTCATAAATCAATACTGCAACACAGCCAAGAATCATACCCCTACTAAAATGAACACAATATTTTCTTTTTGAGAGAGAGAGAGAGACAAACAGGCATATGATTACTTAACTCCACTCAATTTTCAATTTACACTCAGTTTTCACGTTCAGGAGTACCCGAAGGTCAAAAGGTCACCGGTTTAATAGCCCTCAATTACTCTCCCTCCACACCCACTTCCCCCTCTAACTTGGCTCCCATCTTGCAAGACGTAGATCAGTAGATCACCGCCCGACAAAATTACCGGGTATTGAACGATCATCCCGTGGGACCAACATCTTATATTGTGACAAGAGAGCCCAGATTGTAGAACCAAATTTGGCCACAATTTGCCACCTTGCAAGCCCAGTTTCCTATCAGGGGATTTGTGAAATTGGTCAACTGTAAAGACACTCCTCCCCGGGCCGAAGGGAGTGGGAGTGACCAGACAGACCGATGACCCTTGGGCTTAAAGGGGCTTGCCACTTTTCTTTCGATTCCAGTTGAATCATCTTGAGTTTCTCATCACGCCAAGTAACAAGATGGAAAGTTAAATGCTTTACTTCTGACCTTGTAACAAGGAAAGAAGTTTGTATCAACAGATTTGACTTGAGACTGTCGGACTTGTGATGACCTGTGAAATTGACTGGAGCGGGGTTTGAACCTGCGACCTCTGGATAGCCGATCCGGTGCTCTACCAACTGAGCTATCCAGCCCTTTGTTGGCGGTTCCCCAGGTAGTCAACTGCTCAAGGGGCGTTAGTCAGAAGCCATGCACCAGAATATGCCATACAGCCAGGTTATCATGCCAAAAGTCACGATTCAGACCTTTCTTTTGTAAATTAACTTGCGATATCATTGAACAACGGCATGAATACATTTGTATGTTCAGTATGTTTATAAAAAAAAGTACAGAAAATCTGAGGTCACCGAAATAGGAAATAAATGCTCAGTGAGGATGTGTATCAAGGAATTCCCCCGAGGTGGCTTAATGTGGAACAGTAATGTTGTCAGTGTGACTCACACAACACGGCTATTTGTAGGAACGTAACAATTACAGATTTCAAAGTCGAAGTTTACTCTGCTTCAAAAATGTTACTCAGAATACAGTTTCCAACATACAGTGCAACAGCCTTTTTTTGCAATTCTTTGCCCTCGGCTGGGCCTTTAATGAGAAGACGCTGTAACGAGCCGCTCGCTTCCTTCGCAGACAGACCTGTCATCTTCCTCATTTCATTGGCAGCCCACACTGTAGCTCTTATTAACAAGAATAAATTCCGGGTAATCTTGACAAAATAATCAGCTCCATTGGACTGGCTTGATTATATTCTCCAGAGGGAAAAGCTGGCTGGAACGATTTGGGCTGTAAACCTCAGTCTCCACTCCAGAGTAGACCAACTCTTAGTTCGCATTAACCCCTCCCTCCTCCCCCCCAAAAAAGCCCCATCACATCCTCAGCTGTATGTACATGTACCTACAGCAGACACTGTTTAAACAATGTTTGCCTTGCCTTTGAAACGCAAGGCACCGATTGGAAGGGGGGGGGAGGGGGTGGAGAAATGGGCCAATTGGGCAGCTTCCTGACTTCACCGGCACAGGAATGCTTGATTGGGCTCGCTTCCTCCAGTAAGGTGCCTGGATGGTCTGGGCTGGGCCCACAACTAGCAGTTTTGATTGATTTATGGTCGACAGTCAAACGCTGTACAGATTAGCACACAAGCACTGCTTATCTTGGGTTAAACCGCTGACAGGTTTCCAAAGTGGATTGTACAATGTACATTTGTATGTATACACTCGACAAAAAAACCCAAATGAAAGCAAATAAAACTTGCCGCGGAAAGGGGGGGGGGGGCGGAAAGGGGGGGGGGGGGCGGAAAGGGGGGGGGGGCGTACGTGCCCCCCAGTGGATGTTCATGCCCTGTCGTCCCCAATCCCCCATGACCCCTATTTGAGATCTTGAATTGAAAAACTGTATTGTTGATATTTGCACATTTGCCTTCAGTGCCCCCTTGAACAATTGATCCCCCCTCTACCGGTACCTTGGCACCCCCTCCCCCCATGTTTGACCTTATGCCGCTGGGAGTTATAAAGGAAATCAGTCTCAATGATTGTGGTCTGGTTGCAAACAGGGCTGGTTAGTAACACTTGAACAGCAAAGGGCAAATTAATCAGCATGATCAGGGCCCAAGTTGGAATTACGACCCAGTTGTCCATTGCATGTACGGGAAGCCATCCAAGGAGCACACAGCCACGTCAAGCCATGATGAGTAAAGTGGTGTTTTTCTCATATTTGAACAAAAGTTGGGCGATGGCCTTAGCCCTTGTGTCAACCCCCCTCCCCACTCTCCCTGCCACCGCAGTCGGTAAACTGGGTCTAATAAGAGGAAGAAATTCAATTGTGTGTCCTTGACGCTGAATGACTGATTTCCCTACAGGATCCTTTAATGTCTGGATCAAACGCAGCTGCATCCATGCGATAAATCTGACCTACAGTGTTCATTAGGGCTGTGTCGATCCAAAGAATTAAGTATTCGGATATTCAGATTTCCATGCAATCAAATATTTGACTATCCAAGCAAGTGAGATTAACTGCAGTAATTTACAAGTACTTGTTAAAATCATTAAAATAGGCTCTTTTTCCCCCCCTCTTAATTATTGATTTTTCACACACCCTAAGGAGCTACCGGTAGACATGGTAGGGTTGAAAAAAAGCTTTTAGAAAATAAACAAAGAGAAAAATTTCTGTAAAACTGCAGTCGCACAAAGTTAGCAATTTCTTTCTTTTTTTCATTTTTTGCGTTACTTAGTTATCAAATTAAAAAAACTAGCATTTGAATTTATAAAACGAATTTAAAGAAATTTTGATCTTCCAATACTGCATGCGGTTACTGTGATGACTGATGTTTCCATAGGACTCACAGAGTCACACCAAACACTCACTCTCCACAATTTTCTAAGAAACCAAAAATACATATTTTTATGTCGGAGGTTGGCATGCATCCGTACCTGACAACCCTCTCGGATTTCCTCCAGTGAGTGAACTTTCTCCGGCCCGTCACAGATCCTCTCCAACCCTCTAAGTAGGCTGTTCCAGGAATCTAAATGGCTGCGAAGTCCCTCGATGAAAGAGCTACGCAATCCCGGCCCGCTGACCACAATCTTCTGCCACATATCCATCTTGACAAGGAGGCAGTTTCAAAAGACAACTTCTTATCAATTGCTGGGGCAGTTTAGCTGAGTATTACGCGGAGTCCAGATAAGACCCTTTGTGGAAAAGAGCCTAGTCAGTTTTTTTTTCAGATTCCAAGACAAAAGCTCAGAAGGGGTGGCCAAGTTTTGTTCAGAGGAGAAGAAATGTCGGGCTGGTTTACAGCTAATCTCGGGCAGAGGATGATGGGCTTGGCTGCGGAAACTCGAGGATCCGACGTAGGAAGTGGTGGACCGACAAAACTGATCATCAGACAAGACTGCTAAATTCTGGAATCTCACTGTCTTGGCAACATCTGCCCAGGGTTTGGTCTTAAGAAATGGATGACAACACAGAATAAAAAAAAGGAGGAGGGAAAAAAGAGCTGAGGTTTTGTCGGAACGGAAATGATGACAGGCTTTTGTGCTGCAGCACAGGAAGGCGGTAAAAGTCCCTGTTGTTCTTCGTTCTGTGCACTAGAGTTCATGACACTCGACAGCAGACATACCTCGTTTGCTGCGGTGTCTCATCGGAGTTACAGAACAATGGTCTTGGCCGCAGATGCTTTCAGGCAGTTTTTTTTTTGACAAAGAAATCTAGGGCAGCAAAAGGTTGAGCAACAGAATCCAAAAAGGGGACTTAAGCTGTCTTCTTTAAATACAAACGATGCAAGTAAACTCAATATCAATTTTACTTCGCTGTACCGGTAGATTCCTCTGCGAAGAGGACAATCAATGCACCTGTGGCTCTGGACCGCTGAAATTTGTTTCAAGCAAAAGGAAGGTGGCTGAGAAGGCAGCAACAGAA